ATATAATTTTGGAAATAAATAAAACAACTCTACTATCAAAATCTGGGGAATGTGGGAAGGGTGAAGGGAGGGAAGAACTTGCACATTCTTGTTTCAATCCCTTCACAAATAACTTTGACAAGTGGTGGGGTGGGGAGAAGAGAGAAAAGAGAGAAAAGTATAAAATATTCCAAAATAAAGCAGCATAATCTCATGATCAAATTTGGGCTATGGTAAAAAAGACTGAAAGGCTACTGCTCTGAGGATTTTAATTATATGTTATGTAGACTGAATACTATGAATATTAAGGAAACCTCATACTACTACTATGTTCTTAATGTCTTTTACTTCCATTTAACAACTGTACTCTCATTCAAAGATACACATTACTTACCTCAACTCCTATTCAGGAGTAGGGCTGTGCAGAGGAGATTGCATTCTAATTCCCCCAACAGAAAAAAACATCTGAGCAAAGTGTCTCATCCCCGAGACAGAAATGCAACAATCCCTGTGATGCAGTATTTAACGGTTTATTCGACCTCATTAAAAAGAAAACACGAACATGGGCAATTCATAAACTCAGGTACTCTCACAGAAAAGGGAACTAGAAATAATACTGGATGTGAAAAGGTTAGTGTATAAATGGCTCTTCACAGAAGAGTTGCCTGCTTTTAGCAAGATCCCCCACAAGGTCAGTAGTAGTCAAGATATACCATATTTTTTGCTCCATAAGACGCACTCCCCCCCAAATGTGGGGGGGGGAGTCTGTGCATCTTATGGAGCAAAGGTGGTGATTTTGCCCCCGCTGGCCCCGTGGGGGAGAGCGTCGCAAGGGTCCGAGTGAGCCTTCCCGGACCCTTGTGCCGCTCCCCCCCACCCCCACGGGGCCAGCGCGGGCAAAATCGCCAGCTTCTAGGACCTTTTCTGAGCCTTTCAATCCTCATATATATAGTGGAAGTAATACAGTCCCAGGACATGTGACCATTAGGATGCATTGGCTGAAATCCTGTAGTAAGTCATAATTAAAGCAGACCAATTGAAACAATTGAACTTGCAGAGAAGTTGACTCATCAAACCCTCACTGATTCAGTGGGTGGAATCTAACTGCAACTTACTGCTGGGTTTCAAATACTGAAATTTACTGCAGATCACTTATTCAGTGCAGATACAATGTGGTAACATTCAGAGATGAGAAAGGTTCCTTTTTTAATTTGTAACTTATGAAATACCCCAGCAGTCTCTAAAGGGTCCTGGAACACACCCTAGGACCCTTTAGAGACTCACCCTGCCCCCCGGGGGTCAGAGGGGGCAAAATCTCCACCTTGTGGGATTCTTTTGAGGCTTGGGAAGCTTCAGAAGAGTCCCAGAAGGTGGCGATTTCGCCCCCTCTGGCCTCCAGGGGGGGCTGGGTGAGCCTCCAAAGGGTCCACGGTGTGTTCCATAAGACGGACCTCTCCATAAGGCTCACCAATTTTTAGGAGAAGAAAACAGATTATTATTTTTTTCTGTTTTCTTCTCCTAAAAATTTGGTGCGTCTTATGGAGAGGTGCGTCTTATGGAGCGAAAAATACGGGACCTCAGGTGTACTTTTTGACCCCAGGATCACTAATACAGTTCAAACTGTTTGGTACTCCTTTTTCCACCTTCTGTTCCTTCCCTCATCAGGCCAACTATCTTCTTATAACAGAGCTTGCAGTGATCTTTACGTGCAATTAGTGGTGTGAAATTGCCTAATAGTGTTCAAAGACCTTTGGACTGCGGAAACAAATCCAATGATTGGCATTAGAAAGTGACAGAGAAGACATCCCTACCATTTCTTAAAAGAGATAGTTCAAAATTATTTGAAAGTAAACAGCTCTTTCCAAATCTCAGAATGGGATGATGGAACAGATAAGCAAGAAGTGATGCTACCCCCAAAGCAATTTAAAGGGGAAGAAAGCCAAAACATGTTTTATTTATTTCAAGATTCTATGCGTCCATGGAACTTTCCATCCCCTTCTATGTGTTCTGTACCTTCAAAGGTGAGAGGGGGACAAGTCACTAACTGGATTTTATTTTAGCTTTGCATCATTCTAAGTGGACATTTAAGCCCACAATCACCAACACACAGCTTGGAAAGCCAAATTTACGAATGGTAGAACAGCTGCTTGCTTGGATGGCTTTCAATAATCCTCATTAAAGTAACACCTTGTTTGTCCTTGAGCTTCAGTAAGAGTTGTGAGGATGCCTTATCTAAGCAAGTTTTGCCAGTCCCCTGAGAGGCCACCCATCTGTAGCACTAGAACAGGAATGAAAACTTCAACAAGCCTTTCTGTGGCACTCAGTGAAGACTGTGAATGATGGTTAAATAGTAAGATTATTAAAATGAGTTAAATCAAGCAAGTCTGAAAAACGACAGACAAGACTACAGTCTAAAATGCACACATATCCCTCATCTGTCTCAGAATCCAAGCAAACAGAAGACTGGTTCTGACTCCTGGTCCATCTATTTCTTGTGTGTGTCAGGGGCCAAAACCTGCCATGCCAAAAGATTTCTGCTGTTGAAATATTATCTCAAATGCTGAAATGTTTTCAGCCAGTGAATCTGTCTCTCATGCATGCGCACACACACACACACACACACAGACACACACACAAAATATATATACCCAAGAATAAACACCCTGGTGCTTGTATGGAACATGTCTTTGGCTTAGACCAGGATTCATTACCTAATTTTTTTGTCTTTGGCTTTCTTCTCATAGATGTTTGTCAAGATCCCAGGGGAAATTAACAGAGTTCTAATTTTTGTGGGCAGTCATTTTGAGGGCACACCTTTAATTAAAGGTGCTAGAAACTACTTTTAGTATTATCTTATTATCTCCCTCACAGTTTCCTGGAAGCTACATGTAAGTTCTGGTCAAACCAACACACTCTAAACACAGCAACAAAAAAATTCCCAAGACCTTATTGATAGGGGAGCTGCATATTGGGAAAATGCTGCCAAGCCACTTAATAATCTCAGAGTAAGAAATGCAAGTCAAAAACTCAAAGGGATTTTCCAAAATGAGTCTATAAGCTAGCAACTAAAGAGAGAAAAACCTCATTTGCATAGAAACAAAGTAGACATAAGTACTGTAATAAAGAGAGCTGTTAGACAATGGCTGCACTCTGGATACACAACCAAACTGTATCCACACTGTAGAAACTATGCAGTGATGTTTCCTGCTTTCCATGTGATGACACGTATCCAGATTTTCGTGACCATCACAGAAAAGACATGTACAGGCCCATGCTGCTTCAATATATACGCCCTAAGTACAGACAACATGTAACTGTTGGGGGGAATTTGGAGGTAAGTCCACCCCAGTTGGTCCATGATGCACAGAGTCTGATCCATACTGCCACATCATGAGTTCCACTGGATTCAAGAACATAGAGAACTGGGACTGCTGAGGCATAGCCTAGCTGATACTACACAACCCCTACGGCAACAGACTCACCATTCTGGCTTTACATAGCATTAAATTGCCCAGCTGCAGCCTAAGCTGCAATGCATCCACTCTACTTGCTGAAGTTCATGTCATACAGAATTGTAAACTGGCAAAAATACATGAGGTGATCATGCTTGTACAGGAGCTCTGACTACAAACAGCTTGGGCCTTCAGCACATTATGCTCCTATGATAAAATTCATGCTAAAACATTTATCCTGCTTTACTGAGATTTTATCTGACTGTGACTGGACAGGTTTCCTGCAGACATATCAACAATTAGCAACTGCCCAGGCGCTCATACTCTGGCACCCACCCTAAACGGAAGATTATACATGGCATTCTACAAACAGATACATTTGTGGCAACACATTCTGTTAAAGGGGCTTTTTTTTGCTGTTGTTGTTAACTAAAAGATGAGAGAAAATGTGTACAACAAGGGTATTTGGATACGGTGCCTCCATAGATTCAGCATCCACAATCTGGAAAACAGAAACTACATGAAGGACCAATGTGAAGGGAATGCCAATTTTCCTACCAACCATTTTGTTGGGGGTGGGAAAAGGAGGAGGTGGGGAAATGCAGCAAAAGTGCCAGCTGGTTTTACTAACAGATGGCTACATCCACTGATCTGTCCTGCAGGGTTATCCTGAACTTCCTTCCAATGGAAACATGAAGCTTAAGCAAGGCTAAACATGCCCTTTTTATACAGGCAGCATCATGACTGGAATGTTTTCCAGTCATTCAAAATCCCTCAGACACAGTTCTTGTTTTATAGGAGTTATATTTAGTTGCAGAGAAAGCTAAGACGGGATGCACGTTTCCCCAAGAATGCTTCTTTTGATGTAGCAATATAAAATGGAACATTCCCGATTTGCAATCCCTTGGCAAGTGTTTTGTTTCAAAATTAGAGGCATCTTTAGCACTGTTTACCCATCCCACTGACAAAAATCTTCATACCACAATGAGTCTGCATTCTTACTGTGCAACTGGCTAGCAGAGGAGGTATAAGCATATCGCATGTTCACATTTTACCATAATTCTGTGTTTGAAGAGGCAGGAGCTAAAATGCACTTTGCCTTCAGAAGAGAAAGAAGGTTTTAATAGCCACTCCAGGCCCTCCCTCTGCTGAAATTAATGAGTTCCATAGAATAAATAATCAATGGCTGGACAAGCAAAAGCCAAATGCTGCATTTTCATATTAATATGACTACTGTTAAGCAAACTCAATGGGCATCTATTTTTTGTTTTAAAAAGCTCAGAAATTGTATTTCTTTAAAAATTGGACTTTTAACTTATTAAGCTCTTTATCATTACAGTTTAAAAAATTAATGAGCATTATAAAAGAGCAGGCTTCTCAGGATTAACACAACAAACATGTTCATCAAATACTAGAAACAATAGTCAAGGCCCCATAGGCCCCTAAAGGTTTGATTACATTTATTCTAAAACATTCAGAAAGGACAATTTTAAAATAAAAGAATATTTCACTCTACAAGATAGATCTTACAATTTACTTAGACCATGGGTGATAGCTATAGATACTTACTTTGGCCACAGAATTTTCAGTCTTCATATTGGTGTTCCCTAAACATACTGCTTCTTGGTTTAAACAGAGCCTGGCACAGCTGTTATAGGTCTGTGAAGAGAAGGAATAAGTGATTTTGGATACAGATTTATTTTGCTTTAAGATATTCCACATTCACTGCATTCTTACACTGTTACATGACAAGCAGAAAATGAAAGCCTGCATCATATAAGCTATCTAAATATATGGAACACGATGGCTCTTCCTTAAAGGGACATCTGTTTTTTTAATGTAAGGGCCTCACACTTTAAACATCATAAAAATAAATATTTGCATCTCTAAATTCTCAATTTTAAAAGAGAAACAAGAGGAGCAACACCGAAAATAGCTAATTACTCTGTGTAATAGCTAATTACTCTTGAAGTTATGATAAACTGGATATGGAAAGTAGGTTAAAAGAGAAATGACCAGGACAGGGGCAAAATAGTCTGAAAGCAAAATCTTGGGTGGAAAGAAGAATTTGAGAACAAAAATTAGGTAATAATGTACTTTGGACAACTTCCACTCATCCAAAGGCCTCCAGTGATGATTTTAAAACCCAGACAAGCTCATAAAAGGAAACGTGGTCTTTCAGATAGCTTGGACCTAAGTAATTAAGAGCTTTATAGGGCAAAACCAGAACTCTGAATTGTGCTGGAAACCAACAACCAGTGGAGCTCTTGTAACAGGGGAGTTATAGTTAACAATCTGGATTCAGCATTTTGAATCCCCTGAACTTTCCAGATTCCTCCTCACTTTCTGCCATCAGAGTGGTATACTATTTTATAATAATCCAAACTTACATATTTATTTTATTTACGTTATTGAATTTCTACCCCGCCCATCTAGACCAAAGGTCTACTCTACATGCACAACAGAGACATAGATTTCCATCTTGTAATTGTACTTTGTTGACTGAATTTCTCTAAGGTTATAGAGATGAAGACAAAATACAAGAGCATGTTCCTATAGTCTTTGTGATCAAGTTAGGAACTGTTCGGTTGTTTGGTAATACAGCACAAGGCACTCAGTGTTGAAGATTAGATTTCTTAATAAATCTACATCTGCTCCAAAGTGAAAACTGAGTTTCTGTTGGAGGTATTTAAGGAAGATATATCTTTTCAGAAGCTGGATGGATAGCTCAGTAGACATCTGGCTATGGAGTCAGATGTTGGAAGTTTGATTCCCCACTATGTATCCCAGAAGAGTCAGCCTATGTGGCCTTGGGCAAGCTGCACAGTCCCAGGATGTCCACAGAAGAAGGAATGATCAACCACTTCTGAGTACTCTCTACCTAGGAAAGCCTGAAAAATATTGCCATAAGCCAGAATTGACTTGGCGGCACACAATTATTATTATACCCCTTTGGAATTATAATATATTATTTAAAAAGCAAATATTTAAGCAAAACTGCAGCATCACTCCTCTACCCAAGCTTTTTGGACAGAGGTTTAAACCTGAAACCCAGTCTATTCTTTATTTCATTTGCACAGAAGCATGAGCATTTTCATTGAGCATCTCATGTGCTATCCACTCAATCTCAGTGCACAATATCCTTCCGAGGTCGGTAAAATGAGTACCCAGCTTGCTGGGGGGGGCAATGTGTAGCCGGTATAGCTTGTAGCGCTATGGGGCGGTATATAAGTCCAATAAATAAATAAATAAATAAATAAATAA